GGAAGAGAGCTGAGGTATGCAATCAATAAACTTGCATGTCATATTTCTGTATTATTCTGCTTTAGTTTAAATACTTCCCTAAACACATGGAATGTTGGAATAGTAAACAGAAAATTACTGTAAACCTCTTCTCTATTAACTACTGGCTTGTTCTATATGTTTGCCTGAAAATTAGTTTACCTCTTTTTCTAAAAGAAAAAAACTCTGCTTCCTAAAAAAACATCAGGAAAAAAACCCCAAGCATCGTGGCCACATATATGTGACATGACTGTACCTATTTTGGACCATTGCTTTTGCTCTCCCCACCATATGTAAAATACGAACCTATGCTCACCAAAAAGATTGCTCATCCCCAGTCTAAAATAAGTTTGTTTAGAGATGCCATTTTCTTCACAGAAAGAGCCATCACAGACTTTAGATTGTTTTTGTACTGGTCATATTTTCTCAATGCAAGATCCTAAATGTAGACTGTTCATTTGATACTGATATTTGTCAATATTTTTGATACCGACAAGCTCTTTAGTAGTTTTTAGCTATTGGCTGTTGTTCAGCTCATTGTTCTCTTATGTATGTTCCTCTGAAATTATTGTGCAAGAATTTTTTTGGTGAATTCTGTTTCTAGACCATAGCAGCATCTTAAAATGCATGCTGGATATATACTCAAAGTTTCCATTGTAGATAAGCTATATTTGAGTTTATAGGATGCCATTGGGAACCCACATCAGGTGTGTGCATAGACTGACTGGGAACACACAGCATATTAAGCTACCTTGTGTTTGGCTAATTGGTGGCTCAGTATGTTGTTTGAACTAAGTCAGTGTGGTTATTCTATGGTTCATTGTGTTATGCAAGTTAGTTCAAACAAATCATAGTTATTAGATTAGCCATTTTTTCTCCCCCAAAGCTCTGCTGCCAGATCTCTTCCTTCCCTCTGTCCTCCTTTGAAGCAACTCATCCTAGCAAAGAGCCCGCTCTGTAGGGATTTCAGTTTTAAAACATCCCTTTCGGAGTCAAGGCAAAAAATGATTGAAAATGCCTGATGCAGGGCAGCAGGGCCAAAACCTGCCCACTTATTTTGTCCAGAACAAGATTGTAATTGTCCATGCAGAAGAAAACACTGCTTGAATAAATAGAGGATGTCAGAGATACCATTCTACGGCAGGAGCAAGGATGTCATCAAGAATGCCAAAGCAGCTGAGAAATCAGTACTGGTACTTAAATTGAAGAAATTCTGAACCCACCAATTAGTATTTCTCACAGAATTTACGTATCTCTTTCCAGCTTTTTTCAAGCTCTTTTCATTTGTTAATGTAATTTAGAGTGAATATAGAAGAATAATTTTATTACTGGAATAATTAACTTGATGGATGCTTAAATTCCTTTTGATTTTTACTGGTCTGCCAATGGCCCTGAAATCTGCATTTTTTTCCCTCCCCTTCCAGGACCCCTTTGGAGAGAAGCGAGGACACTTTGACTACCAGTCCCTTTTAGTACGTTTGCAAGCAATCCGCCTGAAGGTTCAGGAGAAGCACCAGCAGGAGAATCCAGAGATAGACTCAGAAAGCAGCTCTTCCGAAACAGAAACAGACACTCAGGGGAGCATTAAGATTTAGATGCCTCCTACCTGATTACTTGGGAATCCAAAACGTGAGGGTGGGATCTTCCAACTCCAGGTGCTGTGGAGGACCCCAGAGAGACCTAAGAACTGTTTAGGTTCCAGAGTGAGCACACAAGTGGAAAAACAGCCTTTTGTTACCCTCAAGGGCTCTGGTACATCCTGTTAAAAGAGCTAACTGGGCTTGGGAGAGGCTGCATTTAAGAAATCACCCTTCCCTCTGCTGGACACCTCTGAGTGAATGACACGCCAAAAAAACAAAAAAAAAAAAGCATTTTGGAAAAACCTGTAGGCAGGTTTATGTCTCCCTTTCCACCAAGTCTCGAAAGAGCATGAGATAAAGCATGGCTCCTTGTCCTCCATTGTCCTTGTTTCATAAATGTACTGCATATTCCTAGCACTTCCCTCCCAGCTTGTTTCTACATTTTGATGGGCTCCCAGTAATTGAGTCTGGTAAAGCACTTTTTGACTCTTTGTACATCACATCTTATTTCTTTAAATTTAGTGCACTGTAGCTTACCAGTTGGTTTGATGTTGCCTGTCTTAAAGACAGACCAAAGAGGAAGAATTTCTGCTGAAACTGGGTTTCATGTTTTCTTTCATTTGGAATTTTTCACAGCTTTATTAAATTCTCATTTTCCTGACTTTCATCCAAAGTCCCGGCAGGAAGAATAAAACGCAACCCAGGAAAAGAATTAAAATTTATGTTTAAACCTATTGTGCATGTCAATCTTCAGCTTTCCAAAGCAAACTTTACTTTACCTCATTTTACTGACCATTTTTGGTGGCACTAAAGGAGGAAAAAAAATGCTCTCCTTTGGTAAGATGGACATAATTTTGGAGATGAGTATTGTATGGGAGAAGTAATGATTGCAGAACTGAAGTACAAATAAATGCATCAGCACCAACGAATTAGCATGTTTATCTGAAGTAGTTTTAGCTTCCATGCTTTATTTTTGGGAGGCAGGGAGAACATAACTAGGAGCTTCGTGACAGAGAAAGAAGAAATATGGTCAATGCCTCTTAGACTGTTAAGCCTAGGGAATACATTATTGGAACTATCCAGTCAAAGGATCAGGTCTTATTCTAATAAGAGTTTATTGAACCTGAAATATGGAGTCACGGTAGTGGATGAGTTTCTATAAAATCTATCCTAACTCCATTCTTCCAGATTGCATCTATGACACAAAAAAGGATTCCAGATTTCTGGGGGAGGAAATTAATGTAGGAATTTTAACTCTTTCTATAGAAGATCCAGAAGACTTAGCACTTTTAGAACTGGCTCTAAGCCTTTAGAAAATTGAGGGAATTGATGTTGATTACTTGATGCACATGTGATCTGAAGCAGGAGCCATTCTCTATAGGAAAGACTATATTCAGCCATCAGCCTAGTAATATATAGGATTCCATGCTTGTACCTGCCATCCATCTCACCTCTCCCTTTAAACATCCTGTACATTCATAGGCAGTATCCTTCCAGCTGTTCTTGTCCTTTGGGATATAAGAGAGGGCATTTCGCAGCTCAAAATACCCTTTAGCTTTAGGTGAAAAAACTGATTACACCTAAGAATCTCTCCCCAAAAGGAGTCTGTCCAAGGAATATAAATAACTGGTAGTATCTGGAAAAAAAACCCATTGCAATACAAGTTTACGTGTAGATGCCTTGTAAAAGGGAAGGTCTTGAGACAAATTTTTTTATCATGTTCATTTTAATCTCTTTAGATACAATCCAACAAAAGTCAGATTTACTTATCTTTCTCACTTCCTTCAAAATTAAAGGAATCAGTGAGACTTAGGCCTTATGCACTTTGTGCCAACTGAATAAATTTGGGTTTCGCCATGTTATTCACTAGGGCTAGAAGTGCTTCTGGATTAGAGTACTATGATTTCAAGGCATCTTAACTCCAGATGCATGTTGGCTGTTGAAGTATTGCATACATTTCTTTAAAACAAAACATGGAAAATGCCTTATGTGATTTTTTTTTTCATGTGGCTCGCATGTGGGTGTAAGAAAGGAATCTGATTTTGTAGCTGCCCATAATTATCTGTCTTCTGAACGTTTCCATTTTAAAAAGTGACAATCCTAGACGACTGATCTAGACAAATGTTAGTGACATAATTTTAGACCTAACAAGCTTAAGAAAAAAAAAACAAATGCACAAGGATCTTCAAATAAAGAAACCTTGTTTATATACAGTTGTATATAAGGAGTTTTTTTTTTTTTTTGGTGCAATAAAGTTTGTTTTGGCAGGATCTGGAGTTCAGCTGTGTCATATCTGAAATATAAAAATGCCACCTACCCATAATATATGTTAGAGACTGAAAGAACTATCTAAATATACATAATATATGCTATTTCTCCAGCATCATTAGTAGATCTGCAATGATGGGATTTCCTACAGGAAGCTAGATTGTTCCTCTCCAACCTATGATCTTGAAAGAGTTCTAAATTCTGTTCTTCCAAAAGCAGTGGAGATAAAGAGAAAAATCCTAATAAGCATTCTAAATAACTCCCATTGCAAAATCCAGATGACATAAGAAATATGTGTATTAGATGTGTGTAACATGTTCTCAGGGCAGCATATAAACATTAAATCCCTTGGTGCTTCCATTCCCCAAAGCTTCCAAAGATCATGTGGCCAAAGAATGAAAATACAGACCTGGATAATAAACATGTGAATTTAAGAATACATTAAATAAAAGCACCTTTTTGGAGTATAGCTTCCAATTAAGAAAAAAATGTCCAGAAATACATTGAGCCACACTGCTTTCCTGGGCAAATTGCAAAATAGTTTCACATATTACTCTAAGCCATAATGTAAGCTTTGTTTTGGCTGGTTAAATAGGTTTTCCATGCTAGGTTCTGGGAGGATTTGAATGAGTTGCACAAGAGAAAGGGGAAAAAAAGCCTTCTAACCTGCCATTCAATCTCGTTTTGACAGTAGCTGTCACTAGCATTTGCAAGCAATTCACAAGAAGGGACTACCTTTCTATTTGTGAACACATAAAATTTGACTCTGTCTTACCCCAAATTAAAAATAAAATTCTGATTCTGGAAAAATGATTGTGATGATTCCCTCCTTTCCCCTTCATGTTCCACACTATAGAACAGTGTGTGCATATGGGTATGTGAATGTGTTTTAATATTCAAGGGGATATCATATACACATGCCTACTTAGGAGGAAATCCTATTGAGCTCTATGTGAATTAGTAAAGAAATTTAGGATTACACTGTTTGGCTGCAGTGCATGTATACTAGAAATTACTCTGGAATACAACTTTCTCCAGAGTAAACTTATAGAACTGTGTTTGCAAAAGCAATAGGAAGGTGGTGCTTAAATGGCTTCAAGCAATCACAATGGAAGAAATTCATGCCATCAATAATCAAGTAGATTTTTTTTAATTAGGCCTAATAAATAGAGAAAAATACAAACTGATATAATTTCAGAGGAGACAGAAAAAAAAGCTAAAGAGATTCCAATACTGTTAGGTGGTGTTTCTTTTTATAGCATGAGTTAAGCTCAATCACAAATAAGAAATAGAAGCATCAGATCTTATATCAAGTTTGGTTTTTGATAGTCTTCAAATATTGGCTAATCTGAATCCTGAAAAATTATAAGGCATCTGGAAACCATACATTTCAACCTGAAAAATAAAAGTTTTGTTTAAAAAATAAGTTGTGCATGAAAGGAAAATGGCTTTTTGTATATTTTTGGTTAACAAGAAAAATGCCCAGAGCACTGGTCTGCTTTGTTAACAAAGTAATCTTCCAAATTAATGTGAAATTCAGATTTTATTTTTTGTACATCGGAAGTACTAATTTTACATTCAAAATAGTTTCCTCTTCATTTTATTGCCAATATTTTATCAGTATTGTTTCTCTTGATAGGGAATTATAGGATACCAATAGTAAAGTAAAACATAGCTTAGATTGAGTTCCTGCACTACAGTATGACTCTGTCCAGTAATTTTTGTGGGAAGTCATTAGCCTATTACTTGCATATTCTAGATAAGTAGCTGTCTTTTGATCTTTTCATAACCTCAATACCATTGGATAGAGCATCAATCTATAGCAGGCCAACTCTGTACATAAATTATTCCCAATCAATTTTCCTTTGTATTTTGTATGAAGTCATAAGATGATTCTTAGGATGTTAAAGGAAGCAATTTCTTCTTCCACATGGCATGATCTGTGAATATAGCTACAGGAAACTCTTTTACCAGGCTAAGTGTAACTTTTCAGTCAGTCCTCAAACAAGTTTTATCCTGGGTTTTTTTGTATGCATGAATTATATAAGAATATAAACCTATTGTTTTATGGAAATTAGTAAGACTTCAATGCAGTCAATAGCTTTTCAAATGTCGATAAAGTTTTATATCCACAACATGAGTTTAAGACATAGCTTTATGAATTTCAACTTTGTATGTGCACTGCACAAATATGGAAGGGTATATTTACTGTTTACAGATTTCAACATGCTAAGGCACAACATGGTTACGGTTGTGAAGATATATTTTCACACAGTATCTCAGGTCAAAGGAATCCTGACTGCCTGAATGGCTGAAATTGGACTAAGCATTACCCATGACTTTCTAAACAGTCTTTCCAGATACTTTTGCTTTTTTTAATGAAATTGTGGAAACCTCCAATTATGATTAAGTTGGAAATAATAATTTGGTCCTTTACCCAAAATCTAAGTATTAATTTAAAAATTCAGCTGTTTCATAATACAGAAACAACTTAACACAGAACCCTTTACAAGTAAGGGGATTCAGTATGTATATAGTTCAGTCAATATACTACTCAACAATCTTGGGATAAGCAATTGAAAAGAAATCAAAACAGTTTTAGCATCCCACATCAGTCCTCATCCTAAACATTTACAATAACTGAAAGAAAAGGCTACAATTTTGGACAGACTCCCTCATCCCCATTACAAGAACCAGGAATTTGCTAATGAAATAAAAATCTTCATTTGGCAGAAATCCACATTTAGTATCAAACATGTGAAATCAGGTTTTAACAAAGCAGAAATTTTCTTATGTTTTGAGATCCAAGGTAATAACTACTGTTCAATATTACCATATTAACAACCAGCAATTGACCTAATTCTGTGTTCAGTTATTACACATCTTTGATATTGTCAAGGTAAAGCTTCCTTTGCTTCTTCGGGTGTGATTTCCTGAGAGTACAGTTCCGTAAAGAGGGCAGGTAGCCAATACTGTGGCTCTCCTGGAGCTTGTGTATCAAGCCAGGCCATCCCTTCCTTCAGCAAATGATCCTATTGGGGAAGAAAAGAGAACAAAAAAAGTAATCAAAAGTAAGTGAATTATGGCACGAACTGTAATAGGCACTGAGCTTATTTAGTGACCATGAAACACCGGCTCATATTTGGGAGAGAAGGTGAGAACAACAGACTGAAATGCCAAATAGGGAGAATTTCATAATTACATAATTATAAACACCTTGTCACAATGCAAAACTCAGCTGCCTTTTTATGCCACTGAGTCATCTCAAGCAACTTTATATATTATTATTTTAAACAGTTGAAAAAGCCTATTTTATATTTCAGTGATATTGCCCAAAATCTCATGGCTTTGATGGTTGCCTAGAAACAAGAAATATTTCAAGAACAAATACTGAAATATTACAAAGTATAGTGTAATGCTGGTCCCATTACTTAATTAAACAAACAAGATGCCATATGAGGATTCTGTAAATGTTATCAGCTTCTGGAGAAAACAATATTTCCAACTTTTTAAAAATCTGAATTTGAAACCCAAATAAAGGCAGTTCTTTATTATATGTCCAAATTACTGACATACCAGCACTTGCTTGGCTCGTTCCATTTCCCACTTTAAACTGGACTTGATTTCACTTATAGTCACATACCCCTTTTTCTGAAATTTAGAACGGAAAAAATAGGATTTCAGTAAATTTGCCAAGGCAGAAAAAGAATGCATAAAAAATAAAAAGAGAATAAAATACAATTAGCGACTGCTGTTTTGGAGGAGATATAGCAAAAACAGAACATGTGCTTTGCATCCCCAAACATCAAATAACACCCTAATATCTCAGATTTAAAATTAATTTTAGAAAATATTTCCTTACCAGTTTTTTTCCTAATGAAACTATAAGGAAACAGTATCATGTAAAATAGCACTTACTCAAGATTTTTCACAGAATTCTAAAATCTGTCTGGAGAAAGAACTGAACTGTACAGATTGGGAAAAAGAACTGCTCTGTTTAAATGCTGTCTAATATGAAACATACAGTAAGTTTGTTTTTTGCTTAGCGCGGCACTGAATAGAGATCTGAATCTATAGTTTGTTTAGGGTAATAAAATAGTTTGAAATAATAATTTGGTATTGGCTTATTGACTGTGGGTTCAATATGATGTGCATAGTTCTGTGAAACAAACATATGTTAGATGAAAGAAATTGTGAACTATGAATACATTAATCTTTTGTTGACCTACTTACTTTTTTATTTTTAAGAAACATACAGGACCCAATACAGATTGGAATTGCAGCATGCAAAAAGGGTGAATTATTTCTTCTCTCCCCAACTAGATCATATAATCCCAAATTTATCTCCTCTGTAGTAGTTCCTATTCAAATCTCTAATTCAACATGCAGAAACACTTGTTCTTTTCTAGTATAGGTACCTCAGCAAGCTGTATCACAACAGTGTGATCCATGTTTAGTTCAGCTGGCACAGACTGGATCAGGTATGTCCCGCCAACAGGAAGAATCCCGAAGCCATTTCCTAAAACTTTCAGCTTCTTAATTGCTCGGATAAGGTCATCTCTGTGGAATCAGGAGAGGGAAAAATAAGGCACAAATAACAGAAATGTTCAACTGTTTCCAGGGCAATACATTTCAATTCTTCAACACAACTTTACACAAAATACATAGAAAGTTGCACTGGGAAATATAGAATGCAATCTCCAACAATCATTGTAATTGTGTCAAAGCCTATGCCCCAAAAGACAAATTTCTAGCCTTTATGGTTATAAAGATGTTGTGAAGCCAATGTGGACCCTCAAGAACTCAAACAATGGAAAAGTAAAATTTGCAGTGAGATACAGTCTAATACATAACAATACAGTTTAACACATTCTTTAGCTCAGTATTTGTAAACAGCAATGGATCATGCCCAGTATTTCCTAGTCGAACTACAGACAACTACAATGATCTAATACATATCGATTTTACAGAAGACAATGTTGAAAAAGCACTGCGCAATCTAAAACAATCTCTATCCATTGGCCTGGATGGAATATGTGCCTACTTCTTAAAAAGCTATCCACTGCCATAGCCAAACCTCTAAGCATAATCTTCGAAAAATCTTTCAGGACCATCTCCTTGCCAAAACTCTGGTCACAAGCCATGGTCATCCCCATCTTCAAAATTTACAGACCAATCTCTTTATGCTGTGTCACCTGTAAAGTCATGGAATCAATTATTAACCAATCCATTATCCTCCACTTAGAGACAAACAAACTACTCTCTAATAAACAATTTGGTTTCAGAAAAAAACTATCCTACAATCTGCAACTCTTACACTGCAAAAAAAAATGGACTACACAACTCGATCAGGGCAAAGCAATAGACGCAATCTACATAGACTTCTATAAAGCCTTTGATTCAGACAAACTACTCCTAAAACTAAAATTTTATGGTTTCTCTGGACACTTGCATAACTGGATAAAAGCATTCTTCTCAAACAGACAACAAATGGTCAAAATTGGGAGCGTCCTATCAAATTCTGTACCTGTCAACAGTGGTGTCCCCCAAGGCAGTGTTCTAGGACCTACTCTCTTCATGCTCTACATAAATGACCTCTGTGATCATATTAATAGCAACTGCATTCTCTTCGCTGATGATGTAAAGCTGTTCAATACCACAGACAATACTGCTACCCTTCAAAAAGACCTCGACTAAGTATCAGAATGGTCAAACAAATGGCAACTTCAAATCTCAACAAATAAATGCTCTATCCTATATATTGGCAAAAAAAATATCAGAAAATAAAATACATGTGGAATAGTCAAGACCTTATTGATGATCCAAACTCTGTCAAGGATCTTGGAGTACTCATCTCTAATGATCTAAGTGCTAGAGCCCACTGTAACTACATAGCCAAAAAGGCGTAAAGAGTTGTTAACTTAATCTTACGTAGCTTTTTCTTTGGTAATATTATGCTAATAACTAGAGCATACAAAACCTTTGCTAGACCAATACTCGAATACAGCTCCTCAGTCTGGAACCCACATTACATATCTGATATTAACACAGTTGAGAAAGTCCAGAAATATTTCACAAGAAGAGTTCTCCACTCCTCTATTCGTTGCAGAATACCTTATGCCACCAGACTTGAAATTCTAGATCTAGAAAACTTAGAAGTACGCCGCCTTCGGTCTGATCTAAGTATAGTATATAAAATCATACATTGCAATGTCCTACCTGTCAATGAATACTTCAGCTTCAACCATAACAAAACAAGAGCAAACAATAGATACAAACTCAAGGTTAATCCCACCAAACTTGATTGCAGGAAATACGACTTCAGCAACAGAGTGGTCAATGTCTGGAATACTCTACCTGACTCTGTGGTTTCTTCCCCAAACCCCCAAAACTTTAACCTTAGACTGTCTACTATTGACCTCACCCCTTTCCTAAGAGGTCTGTAGCGGGCATGCATAAGCGTACCAACGTGCCTACCATCCCTGTCCTATTGTTTCTTTTATTTTTCTTATATGTATCCATGTATTCATAACTATGTTTTTACTTATACCTATTATCTTGTAAGCACTTGACAAACCAAATAAAATAAAAAACAGTGAAGTTTAAATTTGTATAACGCCTTACTGTTAGAGATAGGATATGAGAGAGAAAGGGGGGAAACTCAAGGTGTCTTTTTGAGAACTCCTTCAGACTCTCCCCATATATTAATTGTATTGCTTTCCTGGGAAAGATCTTGAGCATAGACTATATTGACTGTCTTCCTTTTGATGAGAAGGACCAAATGACTCTCATGGATCTCATGGCCATCATTCTTGTTGATGCTATATGTGTTTTTCGTGATACAGCTTCAGGAAACCATATAGCCAAATATTTAAATGAACTTTACCATCTAGGGCAGTGGTGGTGAACCTTTTCAGCACCAAATGCTGAAACAGGAATAGAAGAGCAGCTCCCCACCATGCGTGCGAGAGCACCGGAAAGAAGAAGTTTAGCTTCCCTCTGATCTTCCGGTTTCTAATGCGCATACAAAGACCAGCTGGCCAGTGCATACATGCGCACCAGGGAGCTACTCTTCTGGTTTCTGGCACTTCTATGCACATGAAGACCAGCTGGCCAGTGTGCATGTGCACACCAGAACCTGGAAGAGCAACGGATGACGGTTAGTGTGCCTGGAGAGATGGCTCTGCATATCACTTCCGGCATGTGTGGCATTGGTTTGCCATCACGGATATAGGATAAATCTATGTCTCCTGGTCTTTTGTCAAAAATGACTACCTTGGTTTTAGAAAAGTTTTATCTGTAAATACTTTTTCCTGCAGTATATGCCTCATTTTGTCAGGATTCTTTTAATTCCAAATAATGATGTTGATATATCATGTTGCTTGCATATAGTAATTAGGGGCCTTTCTTGTTTTAATTGATAGGGCATGCAAGGAAGTATTGTTAAACTCTTCTACAATGTTGTTTATTCAAAAATTAAAGAGGAAGGTGTCCAATATAGAGCCCAGGCAGACACATTTTGTAGTTTTAATCTGATTTATTAGGGAGCCATTGTAATTTATTTATACTTGTATTTAAGTGTCTTCACACAATGTATACGTTAGGTAGTCTTTCCTTCTATTTATTATATTATATAGATCAATAAATTTTTCATATAAATATTTTGAGGGCCCATTTATTGATTTGTGAATCAGATGTTGTAAGGTAAAGCAATGATCTATAGTACTGTGGTCCCTTCTGAAACCAGCCTGTTCTTCTGCTATTATCTGCTTAGTATCTGCCCAGTCAGTCTATTTGGAAGGTATCTTGTATATAGCTTACTCCTTATGTCGGTAAAGCTTAAAGATACAGTCTTAAAGTTGCCAAGTTTAAGCAACTCAAACAAACCATATCTGGTACAACAAACTATTCATTTTTATACAATATATTGGAACTATAGCTCAATGCAAAAACTTGGTCACTAATGAAAATACTGTGGTCACAACATATTACCATAATTGTTATGGTTAACATGATCAACTATTACCATTAGCTGCATAATTTTTTCATTAATTGTTAAAATTACAGACCCCCACAGAAATTATAGTCATGAATGCAACACTTACTGGCTAACATCTTGAGCAAATTTTCCTCTTCCTTTGAGCACTTGTTGATGGAGTTCATCCAATATTATTAATCCTAGAGGGAAAAAGGAAACAACAAGCAGATTTTAAGAAAAGTTGACTCTTATGAAATATTTTTAAAATTAACACTGTAATTGCATAAATCAATTTTCTCCAAGTTGTTGCCATCTGTACATGTCAGGACTATAATATTGGTAAAAATTTAAGTGAGTTGTAATCTAAATGGAAACTAGATTAAAGAAGAGGTGTGTGTGTGTGTGTGTGTGTGTGATGACCCAGGGTGTGACACAGAAATAACAAAGTCACCAAAGTAGAGTAAGTTCCCTTTAATACCTCTAACTTGGCCCCAATGTCCAATTATCCTCAGCTGGATATCAAATTCTTCAAAAAACAGTATAATAAAAAAACAACACAAACCACATTGAAGTAATTAACATGGCAGGCCAAGATGATAAATTGCAGACTTTAAAAGGATAATGCAGCACCCACAGTTGGGAGGATGCCAAAACCCAGATAAGTCTCGACCAAGATAATGCCCGCTTTGCTTCCAGCAAGAAGCTGTTGTGCATATGCCCCACTTATACTCTTTTCTCCTACCTGCAACTAAAGAAAGGGATCAGGGCCTTTTCCTCTCCTGTAAGCCATGTTACTCCCTTCTCCTTTCCTCCCTGCGTGCCCTAGGATGAAGAGGGGATGGCCCTGGGTCTTCCTCTGAATGCCCAGCCAGACTGTGCCCTTCCCCCATTTCTTCCACAGCCACCGGAGCCACACTCCCACTCCCTGTCAGCTCCTCAATCTCCCCCTCAGAAGCAGACTCCTACAAGGGCATGACAGTGTGTGTGTATATATAATCCAGTTAATATATTAATAATTCCGTTAACTAAAAGGAGGCTAATTTCTTAACAGCATGCACAAGATTTCGCTGCCATCCCATACACACTTACCAAGATTTAAGTTCCACTGAACATAGTTGTATTTGCTTCTGAATAAATGTGTATAGGATTGCAATGCATTTTTTAAAAAAAGAGCTTTAAAAGCATAAAGCCATTTTTTGATGCCACTAAAGCAGGCAGTCAAAATTATCAATGGTTTAGGGAGAAAAATGGCAATAATCTGGCAAACACGGAGCTAACCACTCTGGGGGTCTTTAAAGGAGCTGCTGGGCTGCACTTAGTGTATTCATCTTGACTTAGCAAAATGTGTGAAATACGCTACAAATATGAATAAAGTTTTTAAGGATGCTCTCTCAAATTAAGTGTCTCCAAAAGCAAAAATAGATTACTTGGTAGCAAAATATTTTGTATGTTAACCCATTACAATGGATCTATTACTTGGAATCCTGACATTGTATTTGGTTGCACGTACTTAAATTAATGGAATTACCTTTTTAATTATGATATATAACACTGAATTGTTAATTTTTCTGGAAAATAGCATTCATGTATCTATAAAATTTGGAGGCTATGATAATTACAAAAGTGCATTAGAAGTAGTCCTCAAGTTACAATCACAATTGACCCTAAAATTTATGTTGCTAAATGAAACATTTGTGAGTTTGTCCAATTTTACAACTTTTCTTGCCACAGTTAAGTGAATTATTTTAAGTTAGTAACATGGTTGTTAAATGAACCTAGCTTCCCTGTCAACTTTGCTTGTCAGGTTGCAAAATGTGATCACATGACTCTGGGATACTGCAACCAACATAAAATATGAATCAGTTGCCAAGCATCTGAATTGTAATCATGTGACCATGGGATATCACAATGGTCGCAAATGTGAAAAACAGTCATAAATAACTTTTTTCAATGCTGTTGTAACTTTGAAAGGTCACGAAATGAACTGTTGTAAGCAGATGACTACCTGTCTTACAGAGATGGGCTTAAGAAAGTGGGTTTAGGAAAACTCAAGTTTCTAAGGCTTGAAGGTAAAATTATTGGAACAGAAGTAACATCACCATACCAGGTGAGAAAAATGAACTTTCCCTTTAATTTTAAGGGAATGAGACTATGAGGATTCTCGCACTCCCTTAATATTGCAGAAAAACAAAGAAGGCCTAAGAAAAACATTAATTTGGTTGGGGGAGACAGGTGGGAATGGAAGCAGAAGGCTTCCTACATGTAGAACATTTTACCAATGAAATTCATCAGCAGAAAGTTGGGGCCTGCACGAAATTACTGAATACAATTACCTCCATTTCTGTGCTTGAGAGCCAAGCAGACTTCAATAATTTGGACACCCAGCTCATAATAAAAATCTCCTACACCCAACATTTCTGACCAGAATCCTTTACCAGCTGCAAAAAAAAAAAAAAAAAAATGTAGGTCATTTTAGGGAAAAAATGAGCCATTTTCTCAGCGGGACATTCCTCTCCTCACCAAAGTCTCCTTGTGCTTAAAGGGAAATCTCTTTATGCTTTAGAAACCATTTCCTGTCTAATGCTGATCCATTTCCTCTCTTATCCACCTGATCCATTTCCTCTTTTATTTTCATTTCCTACTGAAACAAGCCAAGACAGAACAGTTTACCTTGCTGCCAATGATAACAAGGAATTCTATGTACGTGAATAGAAAATGATGAAGGATGGAATAAAACAGTATTTCTCAACTTCAGCAACTTGGGATGTTTGGAGTTCAGCTCCAAAAATTCCCCATCCCAGAGTTGAAGTGCACATATTTCAACATTACTGAGTTTGAAAAACACTGAAATAAACAATGTTATCCATTCTGCCATCCATCTTATTTCACTGCATCCATACTTTTCCAGTCACCTTGGTCGGTAGTTATTTTATTATTTTACTATATTATAATCCTACATTTCCACATGATTTTCCCTTTAAGGCCTTTAAATCTTATTTAGTGAGAAAAACTCTGAAGACTAGTCATACTTGTGAATTAATTTACTAGGCTATTCTAGAGATTTCTCATTTGCTAAAAAAGCTTCATGATGATTCTTTATTCTAAATAAATAAGGCTCAGAAGAGACCATTTTTATATCTAAAGCACACAGAAGACCAGATATTGCTTAATTCCTGATACCTGCAGCTAACTGAGAAATGCTAGGTTTATTCAAGCTCAACTAAAGAGCTATGATACCCCCATCAAAGTTTTCCATTCCTTCCCCATTGCTTACAGGCTAGTGGATCAACACCAATTGTTGCACACATGTTTTGGAACTGGACTCTGAATTCAGGATTTTTACGGATTTCTTGTTTGTGCTTACTAGCAAACTCTTCTAGGTTACTTTTAAACGTCTCCAGCTGCTTAGACATCTGTAAATTTATTTGGAAAAGACAATAGAGCAACAAAATTAGCTGGTTTGAAACACTACTAAAGATTCTTTTAAATAATTTTCCACACAAGACAACATGGCACAACATTGTGAATTACCCAATTCAAATATCAATGTTGAAAGCATTGATTTAATTCAATGGATCATCTAACCCAAGCAACAATCTACCAAAAATGACCACAATTTATAGGAAGTTTGCAAGTATTTAAATATTACTATCACACATTTTCTACATGGTACTTTTTTTAACCTTTCTCCAAGCTGCTGATATTCTTGATCATTTGTAATTGATCAATTTATAATTGATTTCCATAAATTATAAGCATATTTTGCATAGAAGGTTAGAGTTACAGCTTAATGCCTGGGATCACAGCTACAGATATCCTTTCAATTCCCAAAACAAATGTAGGCATTTTCATATCTCACCTGGGCTAACTGATCTTCAGCCAAAACTGTCCCACGTTCCTTATATTTGGCCTAAGAAAAGAAATAATTAATTTTTAGTATTATTGATAGTTTTAGTCATATTATGATTGTGCTATTCATATTGACTCTTAATGACCAATTTTCTCCATGGCATATTTTGATACTGAAGGCTTTTTTTTTTTATCAGATAGGGATATCCTTTTCCATAAAGATTTTATATAACGCTTTGTTAATTATGTTTGTACAACATACTAAACCATAACCATGGTTAAAAAACAGAGTAGCTATGTTCATGTCATATGCTAAGCTAGGACAAACAAACCACATTCTGATGTATCCAGAGAGGGACTTATTCATAAAAGGCACAGAGACTGTAAGATCGGTATTATAATTTCTCCTCCTACCACTTTCCAATGAGGAACAAATTAATAACTGTTTCTTTAAGAACCATACTGGATAAACCAATTCATTATGAAAGAAGTGGTCCTGAAGGTAACTGGGAGCCAAGCCATATCAAACTTTTAAAAGCCAGGTTAAAAACAGTATGCTGAATTGCATTGACAATATTGGAAACCAATGTAGGGCCCATAACACAGATGCAAAATATCTACAATAGCTTTAAGTCAACCAGGTCACTGCATTTTGCCTCAACTGCAGTTTCCAAATGGTTTTCAAAGATAGCCCTATGTAAAATGTATGATCCACCTTCACTTGGGCCATTGGCTCCAGCCAATGTATCAGATTCAATGATAGTATCTAGCCAACCTTGGCTAATCTCAAAAACCTAAACAAGAATTGACTTTTTAGAACATAGATAGGAAACCTCAAGGAAATGTCAAAGCTATAGGTTACCCTGAAGAGTTGCAACATCCTGGAAGAAAATTAAGGCATCAGGAATTGACCTCTACTCAAGGTAGTCTTTATTCTAACAAATCCAGCCAGATAATACATTGTTTTAGGATGTACCATAAAATATTGAGAATGGTTAGAAAACAGATGGTTAGAAAACAGTGTCACTTCAGTGCCTCTGGAAGGCAAAGCTAAGTATGGGATTGGCTGCCCCGCTCGTGCTGGCCGAAGAGGCCTACTGTGGACCCCATCAACCAAGGACTTGCAGTTGGTGGGATACAGGAAAACAGACTTGATCTTTGAAACATCTTACTGCAGGAGATGAGGTCTGTCCCCATCCTTCTGGCCTTCAGGGAATGTCTTAAAACTTGCCTATGCTGGAAGGCCTTGAAGGATAAGCTCTTGGCTAGAGGTAGCTATTGTAATAGCAGAAAAGTCATCACCACCACCTTCTGCTCTAAACCTGTGGTTCTCTAGCTAATTATTTGTAATTTTAATCTGCTTTTATACCTGTATTTTTTACATCCATATTTTTTTATGTTGTAAGCTACTCACTTCAAACCACGAAGTGAGCACCATATGCATTTGATTAATAAATTTGATAAAATATCAGTCCTTCTAAAGTATGGGTCATTAATAGAGGAAAATAGGATGTAGGAATTTTCAGAGATAAAGTTACTCAAGAATGCAGAATGGGCTAACTTTCTGGAGCTGATTTAGCACAGGAAATGAATAAGAAAAAATAAATTAGAAATTCCACCAGTTAATTTCTAGCACAATCATTCCTGAAGTGGAATATACCTCTGGGCATGTGCAAAGTGTCTTCCCCTCACCCTAGAGCAGGGGTTTCCAACCTTGGCCTCTTTAATCTGGCGGATTTCAACTCCCAGATTCTGGGAATTGAAGTCCTCCAGACTTAAAAGTGGCCAAAGTTGGAAACTCCTGCCCTAGAGTCTAGTAGTCCCTGTACAATCCCGACCCAGACCTCCTCCCCACTTGGATACACGGCACTCCCGAGGCGGAAAGGCCTCGCCAGGAAACTCTCTGTTCTTTTCTCTAGGAAGGAAAATCCTTTTCTTCTGGAAAGCATAAGAGAGGAAAGAAGGACTTCGCTCCTCTGAAGGAAAAAGGACCTCACCTCTGCCAACTTTTTTTTGGCGATGGCGCCGGCCCCCACGCCCCGGCGGTGCATCTCTTGCACGGGGGTGGGGAAGGGAAAAGGAGAAAGCAGCACTCGGACCCGAACGGCTCGCCGACGAAGGGAGCACTGGAGGCAGCGGTACACCGTCTACCAAACCCCGTCCCTCCTCATTGCGTCATCAGCATGCGACAAGCAGGAAGTACGCCTGGATTGAGTAGTTTCCTTCGATTCTTTCATCGCTCTGACAAAGAAGGAAGCCGTTTGACTCGAAGTGGGGAAGGTTTCTTCCACTTCATTTGTCTGATACTGAAATCCTAAAAAGGGGACCGGAGGCTAAAGAGAGAAATTTTCGCCAAAGCCATCTTCAACGGACTTCCTCCCAACCTTTGGCTGTCTAGACTAGAGCAGAGGTCTCCAACTGGAGAATTCTGGGAATTGAAGTCCACAAGTCTTAAAGTTGCCAAGTTTGGAGATCTCTGGTCTAGAGCCACTGGACTGCAGCTCCCATGATGCACAACCTTCCGCGTTGTGGGGGGACGACGACTGTCGCAACCCTGGTGAACGTCAGCCGAGGAAAGATGTTCAGAACGATAATGATAAAAGTCCTGGCACGCTTTCGGATCAATTAGTTGAAAGCCCGAAAGTAGCCAAGGTAACATTGTAGGAAATGTCCAGGTGTCAAAATTCCACAACTGGCTCGCTAAGGAAATAGATTTTTCTCTCCCAAATTCAATCATTTTCTAAGTTCCTGGGAGTTTTTACAATCAAAAAGTAAGCAACTTCAATAAGTAAAAAAATGGGCTGCAGCTGTAGTCTTCGAGAATTTTGAGAAAGTGTTACTTTTTGTAACGTGAGAGATTAAAATAAGTAGGGGGTGTGCATAAGCGCACCAACGTGCCTACTGCCCCTGTCCTATTATTTCTTTTTATTTTTCTTATATATATACATTTCATGTATTTATAACTATGTTTATACTTATACCTGTTATAATTGCTTGACAAAATACATACATACATACATACATACATACATTTCACTGTATTGTGTGAATCCAACTAATGTTGGAGTAATTTAATAAAATGTGGCCCTACTTCTGAAGGCAAGCTGTTCTATTGGTTGATTGCTCTCACTGTTAGAAAATTTATCCTTATTTCCAGGTTCAATCTCTCCTTGTTCAGTTTCTATCCATTATTCCTTGTCTGGCCTTCAGGTGCTTTGGAAAATAGCTTGATCCTGTCCTCTCTGTGGCAGCCCCTCAGATATTGGAACACTGCTATCATGTCTCCCCTGGTCCTTCTCTTCTAGACTAGCTATGCCCAGTTCCTGCATTGTATGTTTTAGCCTCCAGTCATCTAATCATCTTAGCTGATCTTCTCTGCACTCTTTCTAAAGCCTCAACATTTTTTTTATAGTATGGTGACCAAAATTGGATGTAGAGCTCTAGGTATGGTCTTACTAAGGCTTTATAGAGTGTTATTAGTACCTCACTTGATCTTGATTGTCTTCCTCTGTTAAACTAGAGCTGTAGACTTTTACAGATGTTTTAGGATCTTAAGCTCCAAACCTCCCAGCATTGAGAATTTCAAACTAACACATTTGGAGAGTGCCAATCTGGGGAAGGATACTGTTGAACATGCTTACGACAATGTTTATAGGATTGTATAACCCCCTTGTATTTAATTATTCCTTGACAATGGTACTTTCCTGCCTTGACTCCTTTAGCTATGCCTAATAAAACCTATTTTTCTCCTTGTATAAACTATCCCACATCTTCAAGATATATATAATCTGTACAAGTAGTTCTTGATTTAGACCCATTTGATTGGTGACTGTCCAAAATTGGCACTGAATTGCACAGAACAAAGTGACTTATGACCAGAGGTGGTATTCAGTAGGTTCTGACTAGTTCTGGAGAACTGGTAGTGGAAATTTTGAGTAGTTCGGAGAACTGGCAAATACCACCTCTGACTGGCCCTGCCCACATCTATTTTCTGACTCCTGAGTCCCAGCTGATCCGCTGAGTCTTCTTTTGTTTCCCTGAACAAGAGAATGGAAAGCAGATTAGTGGGATGGGGAAGGAATGGGATATTGCAGTATCCTTCCCCTGCCATGCCCACTAAGCCACACAACGCCCACCAAGTCACGCCCACAGAACCGATAGTAAAAAAAATTTGAATCCCACCACTGCTTATGATCAATATTCACACGCAACCATTGCAATATCTCCGTGGTTATATGATCAAAATTTGGGTACTTGGCAACTGTCATATATATATATATATGTCAGTTGCACTGTCTTGGGGGCATGTGATCACCATTTTAATCTTCCTTCTGACAAGCAGAGGCAATGGGGGAAGCCAGATTTGTTTTACAACTGCATGATTCACTTAGCAACTAGACTTTGAATGTACTTTGAATGCTCCAGGCTGTTGTGAGCATGCTTCATTTCTTTTTAAAAAAAATACAATTTATTGATTTTACAATTAAAATAGACGAACAACACATACATCAGTGTAAGAGAGAAAAAGAGAATAAAGAATAGAAAGAAAAAGATAGAAAACAATTAAAAACATTTTCATCTTCAACAGTTTGTGAGACCTCCTTTTTATCCTTATTTTATGCAATATACACAATCGTTGCATATATCTGCATATCACTACTATGATTCTATCATATCTTCTTTTGCCTTTTAATGTGAAATCTATCTTTGGTCTATCCATTTGTACCAGCAGTTCCAGCTGTCATAATATATTGAAGTGTCTTTATCTTTTAATGCCAAGGTTAATTTGTCCATTTCTGCACAACTTAAAGTTTTTTGAATAATCATCTCCTCTGATAGAACATGAGGCTGTTTCCAACATTGTGCAAAAGCCAATCTGGCCGCTGTCAAAATATGTATTATTATATATTTCACTTTTTTTGGTAGTTGTTTATCAAAGATCCCTAATGGAAAGGACTCTGGGTTAAATTCGATCTGTTCTCTTGTCATTTCCTCCAGCCAATTTCTAATTTTCTGCCAATATTTTTGAGCTTCTGTACAAGACCACCACATATGGAAGAAAGTTCCCTCTTTTTTTTGCATTTCCAGCAGTTCAGACTCATATGGGGGTGCATCTTCACTAATTGCTTCATTTCTTCTAGTGACAGGACAACCCCCAAATAAGCTATCTCTTTCTCACCATTTGCCCTCTATGCCTTTTTGTTTTGTGTTCCTTTTATATTCCTCATCCTATCCTTGACATTAGATTCCCTTCAAGTGTCCAAGGAGACCAGGAGACAAAGCCAAGCCCTGCAACTTTAGTTGAGGAAGAAGAGGCTGTACTAATCTACTTTCACACAATACATATCCTGAAATGCATTCCATTTATTTGGAGTTGCAGAAGCTAAACTTTTCCTCATTGCAGCATTCAGAGAATTAGAGATTTTTGTTGCTTATTTGCAAATTTATCTGCAATTCCCAATTTTGAAAATACTGTATTTCTCTTCCAAATTATTTTTATTTATCGGGATAATTGAAGGCTTTGACTCTTAATTATATATAACCTCAGATTGGTTGTTTAAATCTAAACCTATGTTTGAGATGAAAGTTAGAAGCCTCAAATCATTGAATGACTTAGAAATAAAATGTGAACCTCTTTCAGGATTTTATACACAGCCTATAATAGCTCACCAATTAACAGATAATGACCTTTTCCAACCAGATGTTCTTTTGTTTTGTTGGACTACAAGCTCTGTGAGCATACTGACTGGAAACAATGGCAACTATTAATGGCCAGTACTGTGGTTCCCATCAGAAGTCTCATATCCCCATTTCTGTTCTTATTAAATAACAAGCTAAACATTTATTGGCTTGAGAATAAATCATTTATTGTCATTGTCAGCATTGGCAAACTCATTAATAAAGGGTACAAAATAGAAAGTTCAAATTAAAAAAGAAAAAGTAGATCCAGCTTCTTCCTCTAGGGATCTATGGAATCCTGAAAAGTTATAAATGAAGATGGTGAAAAATCTAGTTTGGTAATAGCCTGATGTTTTGAGGAAAAAAAGACAGCGTATGATCAGTACAACCATTTTAATACATAACTTATAGATCCCAAACAAAATTTTCCATTTGAATAGTTTCACTATATTGGTTAAATGAAATTTCTGCAAATAATTACAATAAACTGTATATCTGTATATATCTGTATATTTATCTGCAATAAATATATAATTACTGACTAGCAACAGTGAATAATACCTGAGAAATTCTATCACATATATTTTGACTGTGGACCCCCTCAGTAGACAGGATAGTGTTTTTGTGTTTCAGTGAAACAGCCATGAAAACTACCATGTGTTTTTATGTACAGTTGGTACGGTCCTAGTCTTCCGAATAAGGAAGGTGTGAATAAAAGAGTGATTTACTCACACTAGCTTACAGAGGTCAGCAAAAATCAGCCACACCAGAAATTCTTGCCTCTGGATGTTCTTCCATTCATCTGAATCCATTGGAAAGGAAAGTCTACAAGACAAAGACTTTGGAATCTCAGAGACCAAGACAAGCAAATAAAAGAAAGAGTTACTAATTTGCTGGATGGAGCTGTGGGGAAACCTCCCCCCCCCCCCATTTCATAGTTGTCTAGGCAACCAAAAATATTAGGCCAGTATCTAGTATACAGAGCCCATTAAGGCATTTCATAAGAATTTTATACTTGACAGCTATTTCTGTCTACAGCATTTAGAAGAGATTGATACCAATTTGTAATTGGTTACAATCATCAAACTTAATCTGTACAGCAGGGGAAAAAAACCAGTTCAAGAGCCTAAATTAAAACTGTTACCATTGCTTTGTATATAGCAAAGGTGGAGTTTATGCCTAGTTAAATTGTCTCAGTAAATATACAAAAAGTGAGTTGTATTCTTCACTTTTATGACATGTTATTTTTAGTCTTTCCTGCTTTTTTTTTTTTTGCTTAACCAAACTGTGCGATCACAGCCACTGTAGTTTGTAGTCCAGGGTTTTCAAAGCCATTATAGTGAACTGGTTAAAATGCATTATTGCAGTCGTAGATTTCCCTCAGTCAATGTTTATCTTTCCTAATGTTTGATTGAGGTTTACAATAATTGTAATCCAAAATAATTGGAAATAATATGGTTACTTAAGAAGGCTGGTTTTGTTTTTAATCTGGAATACAAACACTTCTCTTGTGATAAAAATAAAATAAAATCTTCAGTGGTTATCTTTTCTCACCTCTGCTTTCCTATGATTTGCAAAAGCCATCCAACATAGTCCTTTGCTTCCTGAGTCTTTTCAGCTTCATCACCTTGATTCTTTTCATCTGACATTGTAATATCAGCTTCTCTCTTGGATGGTTCAAGTTTGTTTCTGTCGTGCAGAGGGGTACAAAAGGTTTAACTTGGGAATTCTAAGTGATAAGACAATGTCAGAAGGTAAGATTAAAGGAGACGAGGCGGTGAAGCTGCAAAGACCCAAGA